TGTAATCCAACCACTATGGGAGGCTGAGGCGGGCGGATCAGTTGAGGCTAGGAGTTAGAGACCAGACTGGCCAACACAGTGAAACCCCGTCTCTACTAAAAATACAAAAATAAGCTGGGCATGGTGGCACACGCCTGTAATTCCAGCTACTTGGGAGGCTGAGGTAGGAGAATCACTTGAACCTGGGAGGTAGAGGTTACCGTGAGCCAAGATCTCACCACTGCGCTCTAGCCTGGGCAACAGGGCGAGACTCTGTCTCAAAAAAAGAAAGAAAAAAAAATCCAACATGCAAAGAAACAGGAAAATACACCACACAATGAGAAGGGAAGTTAGTCTGTAGAAGCAGACCCAGAAATGACACAAGGTAGTAGAATAATTGTCTACTAAGTAGACAAGGACATCAGAATGGCCATTATTAAGAAAGATAGAAGAAAACAGGAGCATGTTAAGAAAAGGAATGAAAGACGTAAAAATGCCCCAAACAACTTCCAGAGACAAAAATACAATGCCTGAGATGGAAAATGCACTGGTGGGATTAAAACCAAAATAGACATTGCAGAACAAAACGTTAGTGGACGCAAAGCCATAGCAATATAAACTATCCAAAAGGGGACAGAAAAAAATGGAGAAAATAACAGAGCACTCCTGAGTTGTGGGACTTCAAACAGCCTATTGTCCCTTTCACTGGAGAGCCATGGGTCAGGGCAAAGCAGGGTAGAGACAACTTTTGGAAAAAATAATAGTAGGCTGGTCACAGTGGCTCACCACGGTAATCCCAGCACTTTGGGAGGCCGAAGCAGGTGGATCACCTGAGGTCAGGAGTTCAAGACCAGCCTAGCCAACATAGTAAAACCCCGTCCCTACTAAAAATACAAAAACTAGCCGGGCATGGTGGTGCATGCCTGTAATCCCAGCTACTGGGGAGGCTGAGGCAGGAGAATCACTTGAACCCAGGGGGCAGAGGTTGCAGTGAGCTGACATTGTGCCACTGCACTCCAGCCTAGATGACAAGAGCAAAACTTTGTCTCTACATAAATAAATAAAATAATGGCCATAAAATTTCCTAATTTGGTGGAAGCATAAAGCCATAGATCCAGGAAGCTCAACAAACCCAATAGAAACATGGAGAAAATTACATGAAGCACATCATCATGAAATTCCTCCAAACCAGTGAAAAAGAAAAATACTAAAAGCAGCCAGAGGATAAAAAACACTTTGTGTTTATAGGAACAAAGAATGGCAGCAAGACTTCTCATAAGAAACTGCAAGCAGACAGTGAACAACTATGGGTTGGGCACAGGACTTGAATAAACATCCAAATTTAGTTTTGACAGAAAAGAATGTCAGCCTAGAATTCTATACCCAGTGAAGATATTTTTCAAAAGTGAAGGTGAGATGAAGACTTTTGAGACATACAGAAGCTGAAAGATTTACAAAAATTGTCAAAAGCAGCTTTTTTGGCAGAGGAAAATGACACCAGATGGAAACTGCATATACACAAAGATATGAAGAACACCTGAAGTGGCCACCGTTTGGGAAGACACAAAAGGCAGGATTTTTTCTCATTTTTAAAAGTGACTGTAGTCCCACCTACTCAGGAGATTAAGCTGGGAGAAACACTCGATAGGGGTTCAAGGCCAGCCTAGGCCACATGGCAAGAGCCTGTCTTTAAATATGTGTATATATATAATCTCTAAAAGAAAATTGCCTAGGCCAGGTGCAGTGGCTCATACCTATAATCTGAACACTTTGGGAGGCTGAGGTAGGTGAATCACCTGAGGTCCGGAGTTCAAGAACAGCCTGGCCAACATTGTGAAACCCCATTCTAAAAAGAAAAAGAATTAGCTGGGCATGGTGGTGCACGCCTATAGTCCCAATTACTGGGGAGGCTGAGGCAGGGAAATTGCTTGAACCCAGGAGGCAGAGGTTGCAGTGAGCCAAGATTGCACCATTGCACTCCAGCCTGGGTGACAGAGAGAGACTCTGTCTGAAAGAAAAGAAAAAATATTTTAAAAAGACAGTTGTCTGTACAGATGCTCCTCAGTTTACAATGGGTTACATCCAGATAAACTCATCATGAGTTGAAAATATTAAGGAGCATACTGAGTATGTATCACTTTTGTACCATCATAAAGCTGAAAAATTGTAAGTTGAACCATTGTAAGTCAGGGACCATCTGTACATAAAGAACTCCTAACACGAAACAATAAAAAAAAATTCAAAAATGGGCAAAGGACTTGAATGAACATTTATTCAAAGAATATGTAAAAACAAGCACATGAAAAGATGCTCAACATCACTGATTATCAGGGAAATGCAAATCAAAACCATAATGAGATACCACCTCACACCCATCAGAATAGCTGTTATTTGAAAACAAAACAAGTGTCAGGGAGGATGTGGAGAAATTGGAACATTTACGCACTGCTGGTGGGAATGTGAAATGGTGCAGCCAGTGCAGAAAACAGTAGGCAGTTCCTCAAAACATTAAACATAGGCCTGGCACAGTGGCTAATGCCTGCAATCCTCCTGAGACAGGAGGATCATTTGAGACAAGGAGTTTGAGACCAGCCTGGGCAACATAGTGAAACTCTGTCTCAAGAAAAAAGGAAGACCAGGCGTGGTGGCTCACGCCTGTAATTCCAGCACTTTGGGAGGCTGAGGCGGGTGGATCACGAGGTCAGGAGATGGAGACCATCTGGCCAACATGGTGAAACCCCGTCTCTACTAAAATACAAAACATTAGCTGGGTGTGGTGGCATGTGTCTGTAATCCTAGCTACTTGGGAGGCTGAGGCAGGGGAATTGTTTGAACCTAAGAGGCAGAGGTTGCAGTGAGCTGAGATTGTGCCACTGCACTCCAGCCTGGCGACACACATAGAGTCTTTCCTTTTTTCCTTATTTATAAAAAAATTAAATTTTCTTTTATTTTTTTTCAAAAAAAAAGGAAAATAAAAACTAAACATAGAATTACTGTTTGATCCAGCAATTCCACTTATGGGTATAGACACGAAAGAATTGACAGCAGGGACATGAACAGTTATTTGTACACAGGTTTATGGCAGCATTATCCCCAGTAGCTAAAACGTAGAAACAACCCAGATGTTCATCACGGGACAAATGGATGAACAAAGTGTGGTCTATACATGCAATAAAATATTATTCAGCCTTAAAAAGAAATAAAATTCTGATATGCTACAACAAGAATGAACCTTAAAGTTATTATAGCTGAGTGAAATAACCCAGACATAAAAAGACAAACATTGTATGATCCCACTTATATGAAATCCCCAGAAGACTGGGGAGCTTCATTCATTTATTCAAAATGTATTTATTCTAAATGCAACATGGTATCCTGGATTGTATGTGTATACTGGAATAGAAAAAGAACATCAGTGGGAAAACTGGTGAAATCCAAAAAGTAAGCTGATAAAGTGAGACAATCAACAATACTCATTTAATCCAGAAAGAGGGAGAAAGGAAAGGGGGAGCAAAGAACAAATGGGACATATAGAAAAAGAGCAAGATAGTATACTTAAGCTCAACCATATCAATAGTTACATTAAATATAAATGGTCTAGACACCTTAATTAAAGAGCAGTGATTGTTAGATTTTTAAAAAATAACTAAAAAAAAAAAAAAGCAAAACCAAACCACATGCTGTTAGCCCCTTCTGTGGCTCTCTCCCAGACTTGCTAGAAGCAAAAGGATGAAAGAATTATCTATTGTATGATAAATTCAGTCTTTGAGCAGATTCCCTGGAAGTGACATCTTCTGGGAAGGCAGGCCCAGCCCTTATCCTGACATTCCCCAGTAGCACTCAGCTCCTGGGACCTTGTCTACAGCACCGAGGCTCCCAGACCCAGGGACGTGCAGAGCCTTCAGTTACCCACACCTGCTGAAACATGGGAAGTCTAAGTGCTAGTTATTTTTATTATCTTCCTCCCTTCCAGGCGGGCCCTGTGCTGGAAAGAGCATGACGTGGGTATGTGAGTAACAGACTCACCCATCCACATCCAAAGAATGGACTCAGACCCAGAGAACAGGAAAGTGAGACTTATTATTAATGACAGCCTTGTAACATCGGGTGTCTAATGGGCAGGCACACCCAACATAGTTTCAACAAGCAACTGTTGGGAAGGGGCTTTAGGTGTTTCCTTTAGAGTTGTCCTGCTGCATTGTGTTGCAGCCCACAATGCATTGCAATCCTGGCTAGCTCAGGGGCTTTTAAAATATTTGACTTATGACCTAAATAGCTGGGCAGGCTGATAAGAACAGACAAAGCGAGCTGTTTTGCAGGCTAGTAAACTTTCATCTTAGACTGAACTTTTTTGGTTTGGGTGAGGGCAACTAAGGGGCAGGGGGTGGGGTCGACAAGCAGGCTTCAGCTATCTAAGCAGGGGCCTAGTATATCCTGTTTCTTCTGTAGTTTGCTGACCTAAACCGATTTAAGGCACTTTGTCTTGGAAATGCATCACTTTATGCACTATTTCCTTTGAGGTACCTCAGACACAGGAAGGAGAGCTTCCTCTTGGTTGGCATATTCCTGTTATAACTTCTTTAGACAGCCCTCACTGTTCAGGGCTGCAGGGTCCTGCTCTGACCATGCTAGCCAGAACTGGACTGCCCCTTTTAAGGGCGCCTGCACCTCCTGGAATTTCCTTCTGAGATGTGCATCCCACCCCTCATTGACAGCCCCACCCCCACCCCTGGGATGCTGCCTCCTGCTGTAGATGGTTCCATCCGGAAGTAGCCAGGAAGGTCAGGAACTCCTCAGAGGGTCTTCGTTTTTTCGTTCATTTTGTTAGGGCCTCACCCACTTGTAACAGTGATATCACATGGGGTCATATTGGTGTTAATGCCAGTGACTTTGAAGCCTCTCTCTCTGAACTATAGAACTATCCCTAAGGGGCCAGTTGTGGTGGCTCACACCTTGTAATCCCAGCACTTTGGGAGGCCAAGGCAGGAGGATCGCCTGAGCCAGGAGTTCAAGACCATCCTAAGCAACATAGTGAGACCCCATCTCTACCATAAAAAAGGTAAGAAATGACCCGAAGGCAGTCCCACATTGTCAGAGGGGCCCTGCTGGGAGAAGCAGCTCATGTCCCCTCAGCCTGGCTGGCTGGGAGGCGCTGTCTCTGCTGAGCACTTCCATACCTTGGTTACTTTCAGTAATGCTTTGCTCAGTTGGCGGATAGTGGAAGGGCATTGCTGTACTCTGGTTTCTGAGATTCACATTATTTATAGATCTGAAATCCAGATGCCTTTACCCTCGGAGCATGATTTAGTGTCATGTTTCGTGTATTTTCTGAAAAGCGGTGTCAGTCTCGCAGCCTGTCGGTCTCGAAGCTCACCCAGAGGAGAGCTTCGGACTGCTCCGGATGTGGCTGTTCTTGGCTCCCACAGACCCAGAACATCCTCCCCAGCCTGTGCTCCCTGTGGGGCACGCTCTCCAGTGAAGCGAGGGCAGCCACGTACCCCTGGGAATGCCTTGGAGAGGGGCCAACTGCCATCACCAGGGGCCAGGCTCTGCAACCACCCACACCTACAGCGAGTCCGTCTGAGAGATGAGGAAGCTGAGGCTCCCGGGCCTGTGGCTCCCATCCCCTCTGCGGGTCACCCGACCGCCCAAAGCCTGGCAGCCAACTTGCCATGTCAGTGGCTGGCAGTGGGCTCCTCTCCTGGCTCGGGGAGCAGTTCCGGCAGGCGTCCACCAGGTGGCAGCACCAGCACATTCTGTAGGCTGTTCAAGCTCAGAACTCTAGTGCTCTGGGGTAACCTGGGACCCAGCCCATCCCCTCCCCCTGCTCTCTCGAGAGTCCTGGCCCTTCTTCCACTGTGGCCCAGGCCATGATCTTGGCCCTAGCTCTGAGCCTTCCTGGTCGTCAGGGTCTCATTCACTGCCCCACCCAGGGGAACAGCAGCTGGGGCTGGGGGGCAGATGGCCACATAGTCCAGTGGTCTTCATGGCTGGAGTGAAGCTGGGTGGGGTCAAGGGAAGAAGAGGTGGATTCTAAGGGGGCAGGGCCAGCCAGGGCCTCCCATGTCCCCTCAGGCCAGGACTCTGAGGATGGGAGAGGCTGTCCCTGGGCACAGGACTGCAGACTCCAAGCCCACCACGAAGCCTGTCCGCAGACCTGCTGGGGCGGTGGTGCCCACAGGAGGAGAGGAGGAAAGGCAGCTGCTCTGAGGATGCTGGTTCCCTCCGGGGCTCCCACTCTCTCCCTGGCTGCGCACTCCTCCACCCAGCAAAGTGAGCCAAACTTGAAAAGCAACTTTTATTGAAGAATTTGGAGGGAAAGTTTCATATTATAATAGTAAAAATACTAAAGTTGAATGTCGTAAAAAAACGCCATGGTGCAGCAGCAGCGGCAGCGTCCGGCTGGGAGGGGCGTGGAGGGCCCAGGGACAGCCACCCCCAGAGCGAGTCAGGGCGGGCCTGGGGCGACAGCGGAAAGGTTCAGCGTCAAAAAGGTCAAGTGCTATCGAGGAGAGGTCATCTGAGGGGAGGCTCCCGGTGGGACAGTCACCAAGAACCATGACACAGAAGGGGGAAGGGGGAGGGCTTTTCTGTCACCAAGATTAAAAACCCCCAAAATGCATTTGAACATGATACATAATAACAAATTGAAACCTTGCTCCTCTGTCCAACTGGGCAAACCCTGGCCCATCTCCCATCCCTGGTCCCATCCCAGGGGGCCCAGCCTCCGACATCCTCAGAGATGCAGCCCTGGTGCTGGGGGCTGCCGTGTGCCTGCCTCCTCCAGGAGAGGGTGCCGGCCAGCATGCCACAATGAGGTTGCGTGTGGTGCCGCCAGGCTGAAGTGAGGCCCAGGGCCATGGAGAGATGATAGCTGGTGACAGCCTGTGTGGCTGGCTGATGGAGTGAGGGGACCCAGCGGCAGGACCTGCCCGGCCCCCCAACCCCACATCGCGCATAGCTGCAGAATTGGGTTGTTCTGAGGGCTGAGGCCACATCCAGAGAACAAATCAGATGAAATAAATTAAAACCCGCAGGACAATTTTCTTGCCTACCCCACTGCGAGGTAGGGTGCCGCCCACAGCACAAAATGTCTTTCCATCTGGGCTCAGGAGGACGGCATGGCTTCTCTCAAATGCACCGAGAAATAAAAACCATTAAATACAGATCATGGCACGAGGCTGCCTCTCCATCCCTCTAAACTGTGGTCCAGCGCAGTCCACCGCCGCCTCAGGCCGTGCCGCTGGCCGAGTAGGAGAACTGGGGGAAGTGGGGCCTGCGCTCGCTGTCCACACACTCCATGCTGTCGTCTGTGGGTGTAGACAGCTCAGACTCGGGCACCCCACCTCCCCGCACCTCCACCTGCCCACAGCTCCAGTAGGGAGCCAACCTCTCAAAGCACGGCCAGCACACTGCCATGCCACCGGCAAACTGAGGCCCCACAGCTCGACCCGGGGACCTGGGCCTCAGAGCATTGCCTCCCACCCTGATCACTGGCGCCCTCCAAAGGAATCTTTTAAAAATTTAGATGTTAAAACATCTGAAGCCAAAAAAGCAGAACAGTGCAGGCCTCTCTGAGTGTGGAGAGAACGGGGAGTGGGCGGGGCAGGCACAGTGGCCCCTCACCTTGGTCAGGTGGTGTGATGGTGATCATCTGGGCTGTGAACTCCTCATCAAAATACCTGGTGTCAGTCTCCGATGTGACCTGGGGCTTGAAGGGTGGGCTGAGCTGCAGAGGTGGGCAGATGGGACCGTCATGAGCTTTGCCCCCCACTCCCAGCATCCCCAGCCCCTCACGGCGGCCGGATCGCCAGGGGGGCTTCAGGCAGCACGGATGTCAGAAGCGACAAGCCACCAGCCCCTCCCCCACCGACAGAGGCAGCTCGGGAAGGGAGGAGCATAAGGGGTGTGGGAGCATGGAGACACCCTCATCAGCTGAGTCGCCAAGCTGCCCTCACAGCAGCCCCAGCAGGCAACAGGAGGTGGTGCAGCCCAGCTCTCAGAGACCCTCTCTGCTGCCAGTAGAAGGCGATGACTTTATTTCCTTTTCCTTTCTGGTTTTCTTATTGGTCTTCTTGTAAATTGGGAAAGAGAGAGACTGTGGAACAAGGTGCAGAGGGCAAGCCCGCCCTGCCTCCTTCATGGCTCAGGGACCACAGGATGGCAGCCTGCTGGCATCTGGCTGCAGAGAGGACTCCTGATGACCCAGGATCAAGAGTAACTAAGAATTTACATGCACATGTGAGGAGCTGCCAGAGATCCCTCAGGTCCCGCAGTCAAGGACCCCTTCCAGCACTGCCCCATCCCAGAGTCTGGCCTGGACACAGCACTGTCCACTGTCAATTAGCAAAGCCTCTGGGCAAGGAGGGGCAGAGGCTGAGCACTGCCCAGGCACCCCCATACCCTTGGAGGGCAAGGCAGGGCAGGGCTGGAGGATGGCAGGCCTCAGGACAGGAACTGGGACCAGGGCCGGGGCACCGTGTTGATGGGAGGACAGGTACCCAGCTGGGTCCCAGTGCAGCCAGCTGCACGTGGCCTAAGACAGGCATTCAGGGAGGGGCAGGCTGGGAAGTGGTCAGAAGCACACCTGGCGACGGCACCCAGCACCCAGAGTGTAGGCTTCTGAACCCAGCTGCAGACCCATCAGCCAAGATGAGGGCTGGGGTCCCTGAAAAATGAGCCCCCAAGATGGCAACTCAGGCAGAAAGAGCTCCCTCCCTCCAGGGTGGACTCCCCCATGTGCCAGAGCTGTCCCTGCACAGCCAGAGTAGGGCTGGGCTCTCCTTGCAGCAGAAGGGACTGAGGTCAGACAATAGGAGGAACTGGTGGAGAGCAAGGGGCAGCACCCCTGGTCCACCGCCAGCCAGCCTTCTCTGCGCAGCCTCAGGGAATGGACTCCTAAGGCTGGCACTTGGTGTGACACACCTCCAGGGGGAGGAGGAAGTAAGAAGGACCAGGCCAGTTTCCTGATGAACTCAGCAGTGCCAGAGCCTCTGCCCACCAGGCGCTGGGGTTGGTGCAGCAAGGCTGCCCAGGCTCCCAAGGTGAGGGCGTGAGTGTGTGGGAGTGCCGCGAGCATGCCATGTGCATGCCATGTGGATACGCGGGGAGTGGCCGCACCTTCTTCTCGTACACGTGCTGCCATGCGATGCCAGCAAAGAAGCGGTGCTGCATGATCTCCTTGGCGTCCTCAGAGCCCCCACCAAGCCTGCGGGCAGGAAACAAGGCCACAGTGTTGGTACCGCCACCCCCAGGCTCTGGGCTCAGGCCCCTCCTCCTGCTGTAATGCATGGCCTGCCAAGAGAGTGCTTTCCGGGGCCAGGGAGGGGAGCCAGTGGTGCAGCATCTGAGCAGCTGTGGGTAGTGAAGCACCCCAGGGCTCACAGCAGGGCAGGGGCGTCCTGAGTGGGTGTGTGGGGGCTGCAGGGTTGGGGGCAGAGGCCCAAATGCCCCAGCCTGCCCAGCCACTCTGCCTGGGCCTGAGGCTTTGGGGATGAGCCCTGGCCACGAACATCAAGCTATGGCCATCAGCGTGGTCTGGGAGGTGCCAGGACCCCCTGGCGCAAGGGCAGCTACAGACTGGGGGCGAGGGGACGGAGGCAGAGCCTGCAGCTGGGATGGGTGGCCCTCACCTCTGCTTGGGGTCCTTCTTGAGCAGCCCTGAGAGCAAAGACTTGGCCTCAGGGCCGAGTGTGCGCGGGAAGCGGATCTCCTCCATGAGGATGAGCTCAAAGAGCTTCTCGTGGTCCTGGTTGTAGAAGGGCAGGCGGCCACACATCATCTCGTACATGACCACGCCCAGCCCCCACCAGTCCACCGCACGGCCGTAGTCATTGTCCTCCAGCACCTGCACAGGTGGCAGACGGGCAGGACGGCATCAGAGGGTGTTCGGGACACTGCCGGGGGAGGTGTCGTGATGTGCTTGGGGCACCGAGAGGGCATGGCCCTGCGTGTGCTCAGGACGGGGACGCAGCGACGCATGTGCACACAGGTGGGGTGCACACCTCGGGGGCCAGGTACTCAGGAGTGCCGCAGAAGGTCTTCATGGTGGCACCGTCCTTGATCCCCTCCTTGCACAGCCCGAAGTCTGTGATCTTGATGTGCCCATCCTTGTCCAGCATGAGGTTCTCCAGCTGGGGGAAAGGTGGCCTCAAGGTCAGCACCACCAGGCCCCGAGGGCCCTGCCCCCCTCCCCCCGCCTGCCCGTGGCTGCACCTTGAGGTCCCGGTACACCACGTTCTTCTCTGAGTGCAGGTAATCCAGGGCTGACACGATCTCGGCGCCATAGAAGCGGGCCCGGTCCTCGGAGAACACACGCTCCCGGGACAGGTGGAAGAAGAGCTGCGGGAGGCGTGACCTGAGGTACAGCCGTGGCCGGGGCCTCTGCCCCCGCAGCCTGCAGGGCTGAGTTTTCTCAGGCAGGGTCTCAGGGCATTGGGCACAGGGAAGGGAGCAGCCCCCAGAGAGCTCGGGGGCCTGGAAAGCATCAGAAGCCCTAACTCAGCAGGAACAAGTCGCCCCAGAGCAGGCAGCTGCCTGGGCAGGCATCACCACCCACCCTGCAGGGAGCACCGTCCAGTGCTGTGCAGAGCAGCCGAGGCTCTGGGAAGAACCAGCCCCACCATGGGCAGCCCGGCTGCCAGGGCTGGGCCCACAGGGCCCGAGGCCCATCCCCCGCAGCCCCAGCCCCTACCTCGCCGCCATTGGCGTACTCCATGACGAAGCAGAGGCGGTCATGGGTCTGGAAGGAATACTTCAGGGCCTGCGAGGAAGCAGAGCTGGAACCACAGCCCCCATTCGGGGGCAGGATGGCAGCCCCGCACCACGCCGCCCCGCACCACGCTGCCCCACACCACACCACCATCAAGCTGGGCCCCAGGAAGCCCCTCAGGCTCTAAGGAGCGTTTCAAAGGTTAGCCAGGTGGCCGGGGCCCAGATCTCCAGGGTGGGCTGGGACCTCTGCAAGGTCCCAGATGCACCCTCCCAGGCACAGCCACCTGCACGCCTTCTACCACAGGCGGCTGTGCTTTTAAAGCAAAGGCCCCACCTGCGGGAGAATCGCCTCCAGTGACCCGGAACTAACCAAGCAGAACTAAACCCCTCCTGGGCCAAGTCCCCAGGACGGGGCCCACCTAGCCAGAGCCTCCTCAGAAGCCCGGAAGGTGGGGCTGCAGGGGTGTGGAGTGTGGGGACCTCAGCAGAGTGCAGGGAAGACCCGGGCCACCTGCCCCACCTGTCTGTACATGGGGGCGGTGAGCACAGCCCCCCAGCCCACACCCGGCAACCCCACAGCTGACCCTCTAGGGCAGGCCTGTCTCACCAGTGGCGGAGTCCGAGTGCCTAAAGCCCTCACGTGCCCCAGAACACAGGACAGCGCCCCCGAGAGACCGCCCCATGAGTGGCTACCTGGCCCCAGCCCTGCAGCCCCATCTGGGCTCCCACTCACCGTGAGGAAGGGGTGCCTGGAGTTCTGCAGGACTCGGTTCTCAGTGAGCGTATGGGCCACCTCGTCCTGTAAGGGAAGGCTGGGTGAGCTGCCGCCCCGTGCCCTCGTCCCCACCCCACCCAGCCACCCCGGCCCCACCTTGGCCACGATGACCTCCTTCTTG